AATGTAGCTGTGTAAGTATGTGTGTGTATTTATGCATGTATGTGGATGTATGTAGGTATATGTGGATGTATAGGTATGTGGTGTGTGTGTCTTTTTATAAATGTAGGTATGTGTGTGAGTATGTGGGTATGTATTATGGATGTGTATGTATAAAAGTCACTATGTATGTGTGTGTATGTGTGTATTACCGGGGCATGTGTGTGATTGTGGGTATATGTGTATGTTCATATGTGAAGGTATATTTAGGGTTGTGAGTATGTGTTTATATATATATATATATTTTTTTTTAATGTATGTGGAAAGTATGTGTGATGCAGGTATGCATGATGTATGTATGTGGGTATCTGTATGGGTGATTGTATATGTGTGTATGCATGCATGTGTGTCTATTTAGGTATGTATGTATGTGTGTAAAGATATAGGTGTATGTATGCATGTATGTGTGTGTATGTATGCATGCATGTGTGTGTATTTAGGTAAGTATGAAAGTATGTGTGTGTTTAAGTATGTGAGTGTATGCATGGATGTGTGTATGTATGAAAGTATGTGAGTGTATGTATGGATGTGTGTATGCATGTACATTTTGTCCATGTATGTATACATGTGAATGTATGTATGTGTGCATATATGTATGTAGGTGCATGTATTATGTATGTCTGTATATGTATGAGAGTGTTTCTTTGTAAATGTAGCTGTGTAAGTATATGGGTGTATGGGTATTCATGCATGTAGCTGTGTATGTATATGGATGTGTGTATTTATGAATGTATGCAAGTATGCATGTATGTAAGTATGTGGGTATGTATTATGTATGTGTATGTATGTATAAAAGTATCTATATGTGTGTATATATGTATGTATTATCTGGGTGTGTGTGTGATTGTGGGTGTATGTGTGTATGCATGCATGTGGATATATGAATGTATATTTAAGTTTGTATGTGTGTGTATTTATGTATATATGTTGTAAGTATGTGTGACTGTATGTGAGTATGTGTGATTGTGGGTATGTGTGTACATAATGTAGGCAAGTATGTATGTATGCATGAGTGTATGTATGTATGTGAGTATCTGTATGGGTGATAATATATGTGTGTATGGCATGCATGTGGGGTATGTATGTATTGTGTGTCTGCATGTATGTGGGTGTGTGTATGTATGCATGTTTGTGGATGTGTGTATGCATTTGTAGATGTATAAGTATGTGGGTGTACATGTGTGTATTTAGGTATGTAAGCATGTATGTGTGTAAAGATGTAGGTGTATGTATTGATGTGTGTATGTATGTATGTGTGTATGTATGCTTACATGTGAGTGTAAATGTGTGGTTGTGGGTGTCTGTACATGTGATTGTATGTGTGTGTATGCATGCATGCATGTGTAGGTGTGTATGTATGGAATGTGTGTGTGCATTTATGTCCATATATGTATGTGTGTGTCTTTTCTGTTTGTGTATATATGTAGATGCGTTTATGTATGTTTGTATGGATGGATGGATGTATGTATGTATGTGCTAAGTATGTCGCTATATGAGTGTGCATGTATGAGAATGGGAGAGTGTGTAAGACTGTGTACACATGTTGTATGTATTATATTCTGTAATGTATATTTTTATTCTATATCCATAACATGCATTTTAGATAACAGGCATTGGTACTCTGAAAAACGAGTGCTTAAAAGGGCCGAATGTCAGACGGGCCTGCGTGCCCAATTTTTTCTTCTTCTTCTTCTTCTTCTTCTTCTTCTTCTTCTTCTTCTTCTTTTTCTTCTTCTTCTTCTTCTTCTTCTTCTTCTTCTTCTTCTTCTTCTTCTTCTTCTTCTTCTTCTTCTCTTCTTCTTCTTCGTTTTCGTCTTCTTCTTCTTTTTCTTCTTTTTTTTCTTTGTTCTTCTTCTTCTTCTTCTTTTTCTTAATCTTATTTTTCTTCTTCCTTTTCTTCTTTTTCATCTTCCTCTTCTTCTTCTTTTTCTTCTTCTTCAACTTCTTCTGCTTCTGCTTCTTCTTCTTATTATTATTATTACTAATATAATTATTATTAGTACTATTATTAGTTTTCTTGTTCGCGTTCACGGGCCGTAAAGTTTTGATTGTACGTATATTTCTGGACTGTAGTCTTGTTCCAGACTTAAGTTTTGCGTCAACACCCTTCACGGATCTGCCTTATACGTGTATGCAGACTGTTGGCATGAAAGCTTATATCATCCTCGATGATGGGAATTTCAAGTTGCAGGAACCTAGCTCTAAGTTCAGTCACGTGTTGAAACTTGGGACCACCGCAGATGCACTCCGACCTCAAAGAATACCCCTATTTAGTCGACTCTTACGACATACTTGTGATGGGGGCAGTATTTCGCCCCCCCCCCTCCCCTTCCATCTTTTCACAATGGGGCTGGAAACCCAGACGAGTCTATATTAAGACACACAGTTTGGCAAGATCGCGCAGTCTTTATTAAAATTAAGTGTGTTATCCGCAACATTTGTAATGGAAAGATTCGAAACTATTACAGTAAACCCATCCGAACTGGAGTACATGTTACGTTACAACCATTTTATCATCATCAAGCGCCTTGCTGACTGGCATAGGAGATCATGCCTCTCCACAATCAATCATTTTCATTTCTTTTGTTGATACCCGGTCCCCCGGATTTATTGCACAAACGATCAAGATCAAGAGATCTTATTTTGGACGGTAGACTAGTAGAACCTGATTGGTGGACACCTTGAGATCAGATGATCTTTGGATGGCAGACTAGTAGAACCTGATTGGTGGACACCTTGAGATCAGATGATCTTTGGATGGCAGACTAGTAGAACCTGATTGGTGGACACCTTGAGATCAGATGATCTTTGGATGGCAGACTAGTAGAACCTGATTGGTGGACACCTTGAGATCAGATGATCTTTGGATGGCAGACTAGTAGAACCTATTGGTAGAACCTTGAGATTGGTGGATGGCAGACCCTGAGATCAGATGATAGTATTTGGATGGATCAGACTAGTAGAACCTGATTGGTGGACACCCTGAGATCAGATGATCTTTGGATGGCAGACTAGTAGTAGAACCTGATTGGTGGACACCTTGAGATCAGATGATCTTTGGATGGCAGACTGGTAGAACCCGATTGGTGGACACCCTGAGATCAGATGATATTTGGGCAGACTAGTAGAACCTGATTGGTGGACACCCTGAGATCAGGATCTTTGAATGGCAGACTAGTAGAACCTGATTGGTGGACACCCTGAGATCAGATGATCTTTGAATGGCAGACTAGTAGAACCTGATTGGTGGACACCTTGAGATCAGATGATCTTTGGCAGACTAGTAGAACCTGATTGACACCTTGAGATCAGATGATCTGACACCCTGAGATTGATTGGTGGACACCTTGAGATCAGATGATCTTTGGATGGCAGACTAGTAGAACCTGATTGGTGGACACCTTGAGATCAGATGATCTTTGGATGGCAGACTAGTAGAACCTGATTGGTGGACACCTTGAGATCAGATGATCTTTGGATGGCAGACTAGTAGAACCTGATTGGTGGACACCCTGAGATCAGATGATCTTTGGATGGCAGACTAGTAGAACCTGATTGGTGGACACCTTGAGATCAGATGATCTTTGGATGACAGACTAGTAGAACCTGATTGGTGGACACCTTGAGATCAGATGATCTTTGGATGGCAGACTAGTAGAACCTGATTGGTGGACACCTTGAGATCAGATGATCTTTGGATGGCAGACTAGTAGAACCTGATTGGTGGACACCTTGAGATCAGATGATCTTTGGATGGCAGACTAGGAGAACCTTTGGTGGATGGCAGGACTAGTAGAACCTGATTGGTGGACACCTTGAGATCAGATGATCTTTGGACGGCAGACTAGTAGAACCTGATTGGTGGACACCCTGAGATCAGATGATCTTTGGATGGCAGACTAGTAGAACCTGATTGGTGGACACCCTGAGATCAGATGATCTTTGAATGGCAGACTAGTAGAACCTGATTGGTGGACACCCTGAGATCAGATGATCTTTGGATGGCAGACTAGTAGAACCTGATTGGTGGACACTGTAAGAATAAAAAATCTCAATGCCAATGGCCAGGCCAGATGTGCACTTGATGAGGTCCTAAGATTTTATAAAGACCTGAGGCCCCGACCGTTTTAAAGTGTCCCAGATAATCTCAGGAAACACACACACACACACACACACACATATATATATATATATATATATATATATATATATATATATATATATATATATATATATTAGTATACGTATATATTATATATATATATAGGCCTTTCAAATATATATATATAATAGATATTTAGTAACGTCTAATTATATATATATATATATATATATATATATATCACACACACACACACACTCACACACACAAGAAATAAAAATAAATCTCTTTGCAAAAATCACTTATATTATATAGTATAATCCTCTAAAATGCTTTGAGTTACAACTTTTAAAAAAAGGTGTCTGTGTGTGTTTCCCTGAATTTTCTAATTGCGATATCTTGACTGTGTCATCAGATGGTATGTATTGCACACAGACCCCTGTCAGGTATTCTGGTAGCCGAGTTTGTTCTCAAGGGAGATAACATCACAGGTCTGCTGTTTATAAAAGAGGGAAACAAAATGTGTAGCTTTTGAGCAGCAGCAGGAAAACAGTTAACTACATCCAAACAGCAATCTGCAACCTCTCTGCCGACACGATTCGGTCAATGTCCGTCACATGGAAGGTATATATAAATATATGTATAGCATGCTTGATTACCTCAAGGATTTTTATATGCGCCTCTTTCTATATACCAGCCGGATTCCGTGCATTGTTACTTAACTGCCTCGAATCATTCAGCTTCTTAGTGTCAGTTTGGTGGACTAGTTTCTTGGTTTTAAAACAAAACAAAATAGCTTCAAGCAGTATGCGAGACGTGACAACATGAACTGAGACAAATACACCAGCAATCGGCTTTGTCCCTACAGAATCAGCATCAACCATCCAAGACAGACAGCAGTACTAGTTAGAAATATATCATCGGCACACCTCAACTGACTAACGTCGTTTGGTATTTTTGCAAATTCTGAGTCGTCAAAATTGAAAGTTTGATCTATTTGTCTGTCCACGCATACGCCCTTTTCACAAATGCCCATCATGCATGGCGCGCCATCTATTTTGGTCCCTCCCATTTTGATACATTCTTGGGTACCCACCGGTTCCCAACAGCAGTGCTCGCACATTGTTGTACGGTCTTCGTCACATACACAATCGAGAAGACGACGAGTAGGCTCGTAACTCAAGCCTAACAGCTCACAGAAGGACACGCATTTCCCGTGCCAGCATCTACCCAGACTTTGACAAGGGGAGTCATTCGGCAGAGGTCGTGGTTCAGGACAAGTATGAGACTCGGTGCCCGAACAAAATGCGTCTTCGAGACAATCTTGGATATCAACGAAGCATTTCTGCGTCGGGGGCGCTATCTGGCATGAGTTGGTGCAGCATGGATGATTGAACGGAGAACAGACTGCATTGCCGTTGAATCTGCAGCGCTTGGTGCAGCAGGGGTCGTCTTTCAAGTTTCCGGCATCGCAGTCTTCTTCAGGCTCAACAATGTTGTTGCCACAGACTTGCTCGGCAAGGCTTCGAGTCTTGAAACAGAAATGGGCTTTCACCTAGGATTGAGTTATGTAAACCAGGTCACTGTAATAGTCATATAATAATACGCAATACAGTAATGACAACTAGAACTGATCTGTTCATCATTAAAAGTAATGACGTCAGTAGTGGGTGACTGCAGTGGAGCTAATGACAAGAAGTGCTGAATACAACATAAAATGCTAATAAAAAGCTCAACGGAGGGAAAAGACAATCACAAATACAGCAGAACGTTTCGACCAAAGAGTACTAAATAACGCAAACTGTGACTGGAAAACAAAACGGACAAGACAACAGAGCTTCTAGAAAAAGTTTTTTAGCTTCTCCCTCCAATGATCCATCAGTGTATACATGTGTCCATACTAGTTTTGGATAAGAGTTGTAGACATCTTCAATGGTCATTGCTTGCAGTACCAGTTAACATTCTTCAGGCATTCTGTTTATACCTGGGATTGTTGTTTTTACTGTATTGTTAGGCTGTAGGTGTACACTGTGTGCCTGGATCCTTTCCCGCGCTATTGGAGGGTCTTTAGAAAGCATGTCATTGTTTTTTTACCTAGAATAATTTAAACAGATGGTGAAATCTTTGTCGTTTCAGTCGGTTTTAAGTTAAGTTGTTTGCTAGTCTGTGCATGAGGTTGTTGTTCATGCGTCCAAATTTTTATGTACAGTAAGCCCATTTTCCTCCTTTAGATGGCTCAAGCTCTGGAGGCCAGAAGTTACCTCCAGCTTATTGACTGGTGTGCTTCTCATACCTCCCTTAATGATACTGACACCAATGTTCTGTAATTTGTCCAGTTTAGATTTGATTTGGCTGCAGTGGAGTATGCTCCCATGCCATACTTCAGTTTTTGGTCGTACGTATCCTGTATATACTTGTCGTACAGTGTTGGCATCTGCACTACAGCAGAGCCACAGAGCAGCTTTCCTTTGGGTGTCTTCAATGTGGGGCTCCCAGGTTAGTCTTTTGTATGCCCAAGTATATCAGGATTGTCCTCTTTTGGAAGAATTGAGTGGTTCTAGCTTTGTGGAAAGAGAGAAAAGAGTCGAGACGGTTTTGATTTGATTTATTCTGACTCTCCAGGAGTTTGTCCATTTTTAAATTGTATTTATAGCTTCCTGCATTCTTGTTTTAGTTGTTCCTAAATGTTCAGCGTGTGTCCATCTGGCAATGTCATCTGAATGTCGTGGGACAGATCTATTTGATCGTCCACTTCCACACTTCAGTCTTAATCCAGAGTTTTACGTGCACCTTTGCTTTACAGATATGGCATATTTGTTTGCAGACTGTTGGTACCTTTCCTGTCAGGCGGATGCCCTCCGACTTCGACGGAAACCGCTAATTAGTCGACTCTAATGACGTGTTTGTTAGGGAGGCAGTGAATCTATTTTTTAACCCTATTACCCCACCCCGCCCATTGTACCATGCAGCGACGGAACCCAAACGTCGATACTTACATCTAGTACGCTGGCAATTTCCCTTCTAGAACAAGGTGAAAACTTGGCAGCATTGAGAGTGTCTGAAGGTCCATCACGAGCCCACATCAAGTACTTTCCTCCTTCATTGCTGGCAGGGCTGCATTCACGGTCGTCTACTGGGTCATGGGCAGATCCCCAGTTATGCCCAATCTCGTGGGCTATCAATAACACATACGACTGGAGGGGAAAAACAGAAACTCCATTTATAGGAAACGGAGAGTTAAGACTGAAAGATGCGACGTCAATACTTCAAATACCTACTCAGGAGGATCTTTTTAAAAACTAATCAGGTAGAAAGTGGTTAGCAGAAAATATAAGGGAACAAAACGCCAGCACAATCCTGACCATATCAGAATTGGAGCAGCGACCATGGTACTTTTTTAAAATTCAACACGAACAGATCCCGGGAAGTCCAATATTATAGGGATTTATGGGTTGGGGTTAGGGTTCAGATCTGTGTCAGCCCCAACAGCGGCAGAGAAACAACATGACCTAGCCCTAGCTCCAACCCTAACATGAACTACCAACCCTATTCTAACCCCAACCCATAACAACTCTAGAATACTGAACATTCCCGGAAACTCAATAATTATTTTTGCGCCAAAAATAAACATAAAGAACCGCGAACAAAAAAGAGGGTTCTAGCAATACAGAGTAAACTAAGTAAACTAGGTAAATGACCGGGAAGAATGTGGACGGTAGACAACACTGCGTAAATGACCGGAAAATTTTTGACAGTAGACAACACTGGGTAAATGACCGGAACAATGTGGACGGTAGACACCACTGGGTATTTGACCGGAAGAATGTGGCTGGAAGATACCACTATGTAAATAACCGGAAGAATGTGGAAGGTAGACACCACTGGTTAAATGACCAGAAAGAATGTGGACAATAGACACCAATGGGTAAATTAGTTGAAAAATATGGACAATAGACACCGCTGGGTAAATGACCGGAAGAATGTTGACGGTAGACACCGCTGGGTAAATGACCGGAAGAATGTTGACGGTAGACACCACTGGGTAAATGACCGGAAGAATGTTGACGGTAGACACCACTGGGTAAATGACCGGAAGAATGTGGACAATAGACATCGCTGGGTAAATGATGTACACGGTTGTATCCACGTAAAAGAAAAACAGTATAGTTAGTGTATCTGTGAGAGTGTCGTTGGGTTACTGAACGCATCTGTCAATATCAACACAGAAATGGTGTGGCTGATGTTGAGAAGTTTCATAATAAATTGTTTATAATGGGGTCTTTAGAGGTCTTTAGAGATACAATTTACTTAGAATAAATTATGTGTAAGAGGCGGAACTTAAAAAGGCCACTCTTACAACATAGTCGTAGGGCCTAGGCTGCATGCAGTCGTGGGACCTAGGCTGCACTCTCTTGTGGGACGTAGGTGGGTTGGGGTTAAGGCCAGTTCTAGATGTTTTGGTGTCGTTAAAGCATTAGAAAGCCGGGAAACTCAGTCTTACCACCCTCTAAAATGTTGGACTGTCTTGTGAGGTCATAAGGGGAGTAGGATATTACGAAAGAACCGAAGAAGAAAATCAAATATGTCATCATCGGTGTCGCCCACTTCAACATCATCAATGTGAATACACCATATCACATAAGTGAAATCGCAGTCAGCAAGACACTACAATAACATCACTTACAATTACAGGCAGAATGACATTACGACCGTTCAGTGGAGTACTGAGGCCAATGTTTCTAGGATAAACGGCTAAGCGTCCGCAGATTCCACTGACCCAGTGAAATGTCCGGGCTTGCGTGGCAATACCCAGAGCTTCTCTAAAGTTCCTTTGTACGGTCAGATGCACAAGGCAATAGTCGCTGAAGTTTGATACAATTGTCATTGCAGCGAGAACATCCATTGCCGACATCGATTCATCGAGCATGTTATAGTGGTAAGGGGCATTCGTGTAGTCCGTGTGCACAGTTACTCTGGCAATAGCGATTCCCATGTTTGTGAAACTACCGAAAGATGTGCTTCTATATATTCGATCTACCGACTGGTAGAGGTAGACGAGGATCGACACAGTCCGGAAAATATTGCTTCGTCCTATACCTTTGAAGGTATCGAAATTTGCAATGACAAGCATTTCACACGTATCATACGCCGAAGTGTCACGTTTTGTATTTCGTCTCCTGTGATCTTTGGACCAGTGTGTTTCTGAATGGAAAGGGTCCCAATACATATTCTTTGTTTCACGGCCATTAGTGGCCCTTTTTTTATATTTGACTTCCTGATTATACTGATTTGTTTTTCCTAAAGTATTATTCTTTCGGTGATTTCTTTGCTCGACTGCAAGCGAATCTGACAACGGATATTCCACTTCCTCACAGAAAGGCTGTAAGGTGGCATTCTCATGGCTGTAGCCATTGAAGATTGAGCTATTAATATCCCGCTGTTTAAAGATGAGCATCAAAGTGGCAGGCGAGTCTGGTACGTGATGAGTGAGTGGCTCAATGGAATACACATCGTCTGGGCTGTGGATCTGAGCTATCCACACGTCGTCCGTATGTACAGCATCCACACTGTGCTGTGGGTTGCCGTTAAGATAGCCAGTATAGAATATTTGCTGATCGACGTGGACCGGGGTTATTCTTCCGTCACCGTCCACCATGTGGGCCTGGAAATCTTTCCGTAAAACTGGTGACCCGGGCACGAGATGGAGAACAAAATATTTTCTCAGCGCGAAGAAAGTCACTATTTTCCTATTTACTTGTCTAGAAACGGCATCTCTTTTTACAACCACGGTAAAATTATCTGGTGCCAGCTCATCGAATTCCTTGAATTTTAAATGCAAGTTACAATCTACCAATGTTAAAACTGACTGGATCCACAGACACGAACAGACCAACCTGGCATACATTCTGGTTAAACTTCTCTAAACTTCTTAATGAGACCTGAAGATAACATGGCCATTTTGTCGAGCAAGATCCTGAGATACTCGTAATTAATTTGTGCATTATGTCTAAATAAAACAATTAACCTTATATGTACTAACGGCTACTAACGCATCCCATAGGACATACTACATGTTTTCGCGCCAATCTCTAAAGTAACAAAATGCTTTCAAAAGCTAACAAGCTGCCGATTTTCAGATCTGGCAACACGGATTTGGAAACGGTAATGTTCTGGTGCATTTTGGGATATTTTTTATGCACTTCGTCGTGCCCAAAAATGTTTCTTCTGCACATTTGATGCGCATTTAAATGTTTCTTATTGACTTCACTGAGGTCTAAAGAATCCTGAACAGTTAGCAAAGCACCCAAAACATTTCTTGAGGGTTGCTTGGAATTCCTTTCACAGCTAAAATGAGTGGCCCAGATGTTTCGAATGAGACATAGAATCGAATATAGCTTTTCGCAAACAGAAGGAGGCAGTCGTTTTTTGTGTGTGTGCGTGTGGCAGCTGTATCATTGGCCACCGAGTCACTCATTAGCTCACCGGTAGACGACTTCGTAGCTGAAAGGGACAGTATTTGGGTCTGGGTCACTTGATCGCATAAACTCTGCAAGAAGCATGACTGCCCATCCCAGCTGGTAAAACACTGATGGTGCTACGGAGTAAAAATGGAAATGTTTATATTTTTTACCTGTCCCTGCTGTTGGAGGTTGTCAATTCATCATCATCGTCAACCATTTCTGCTTCTTTCTTTTAGCATTGTGGGAAGGAACAGTTTATGATCCATTGCTTGATGGGCAGCATTGGCTGTTGCCATTCCGTGTCGATGTAGAAGCTATTTAATGTCATCAATCCATGTTTTCCTAGGGCGGCCTCTTGCATCACCTTCTGATATTTCCACTTGTAGCGCCTGCATTGGTAGCTGTTCTGGCTGCATTCTTACTATATGACCAAACCATTTGATCTTCTGTTTCTCAATGAATTTGCTGCATGGTGTTGTTCTTACAGTCTGTCTAAGAATATCATTTCTAACTTTGTCTCGGCCGGTGAAGCTGGTGTTGTTAATTATTTCGGGCAATGATACGCCGATGACACAATGATTCTAGCCAACGTGACCGAAGTTACAGAACCTAGTGGTGGCCAGTAAACAGGTACAGAGTGGATGCTGGATTCGATATTAATTTACAAAAGGGCACAACAAAGTAGGAATAACTAATAAATGAAAGAAGAGACAAAGTTTCCAAATCAAGCTGACCGCTTTTACATCACGTAACATTTCTTGATTCCATTTTAGACTGGATAGTCCTAAAAGCCAAAGTAATTTTTTTTTAAAATATATATAATTTTTTAAGAATCGCAAAGAGAGAAAAAATTGCAACCAAATTAAAAGGCTCGTTAAAAAGAAACTATAGAGGAAGAGACATGGGGGGGGGGGGGGGTATAAAGTGTGAGAGAGAAAGAAAAAGAGAGAGAAAACCCGAGAGAAAGAGGGAAATAAAAAAAAAGAGAGAGATTGAGAAAGAAACAGATAGAGAACGAAAGGTGGAGAGACAGAGATAAGAAGTGGGTATATGGTCATCTCGTCTCCCGATGTCATGAGTAGTGTACTCAGATGCACAGTCTTTCCAAAGTCTACCTCAGCTGAAGAAGTTTAAACCATACTCTGGGAGATCTGTTTTCAGTCACTTCAATTCCCTTGTCCATTTGAGGTTGTTGATTTAGTTTTTCTGACAGCTGGATGGACGAATGGGAAGACTGTCGTCCGACAATGTTTTTCTTCAGGCAGTTTTGTCAGACTGAAAAGATCATCATCTTGTCATCACTCCTTTGCAGAACTACGCTCTGATCGCGAAACTCTGGAAGGTCAATCGGTCAGTTGTTCTCTGTGATAGCTCACTATTCATTCTCAAAGAGGGTATTTCTTCTTCTTCTTCTTCTTCTTTTCTTCTTCTTCTTCTTTTTCTTCTTCTTCTTCTTTTTCTTCTTTTTCTTCTTCTTCTTCTTCTTCTTCTTCTTCTTCTTCTTCTTTTTCTTCTTTTTCTTCTTCTTCTTCTTCTTCTTCTTCTTCTTCTTCTTCTTCTCCTTCTTCTTCTTTTTTTTTTCTTTTTCTTCTTCTTCTTCTTCTTCTTATTCTTCTTCTTCTTCTTCTTCTTCTTCTTCTTCTTCTTCTTCTTCTTCTTCTTCTTCTTCTTCTTCTTTCTTCTTCCTTCTTCTTCTTCTTCTTCTTCTTCTTATTCTTCTTCTTCTCTTTTCGTCTTTTTTCTTCCTTTTCTTCTTCTTCTTCTTTTCTTTTCTTCTTTCTTCTTTCTTCTTCTTCTTCTTCTTCTTCTTCTTCTCTTCTTCTTCTTATTCTTTTCTTCTTCTTCTTCTTCTTCTTCTTCTTCTTCGTCTTCTTCGTCTTCTTCTCATGCTTCTTGTTCTTGTTATTGTTGTTGCTGTTTTTGTTGTTGTTGATGTTGTTGTTGTTGTTGTTGTTCTTCTTCTTCTTCTTCTTCTTCTTCTTCTTCTTCTTCTTCTTCTTCTTCTTCTTCTTCTTCTTCTTCTTCTTCTTCTTTTTCTTCTTCTTCTTCTTCTTCTTCTTCTTCTTCTTCTTCTTCTTCTTCTTCTTCTTCTTCTTCTTCTTCTTCTTCTTCTTTTTCTTCTTTTTCTTCTTCTTCTTCTTCTTCTTCTTCTTCTTCTTCTTCTTCTTCTTCTTCTTCTTCTTCTTCTTCTTCTTCTTCTTTTTTCTTTCTTCTTCTTCTTCTTCTTCTTCTTCTTCATCTTCTTCTCCTGCGTCTTATTCTTGTTCTTGTCATTGTTGTTGTTTTTGTTGTTGTTGTTCTTCTTCTTCTTCTTCTTCTTGTTCTTCTTCTTCTTCTTCTTCTTCTTCTTCTTCTTCTTCTGCTTCTTCTTCTTCTTGTAATGGGGGATATTTTCCACTCAGTTTAGGATGGTTGGGGGGAAAGCCCAAAGCTGACCGAAAATACCGTGATAGTCCAGATACTTGGATTAAACGAGAAGCTGGAGATAAGTGACTAACCACTAGTTATCACGGGGACCACGGTGATGCGACCCAAGGTCGCCACGGGAAAAGTAAAGGACCACCACGTGTTGTCACGTGAAAGGAACCCGTGGTATAAGTCAGACTTGACTCTGGTCAAGTTTAGTTTGTGTCGACCTGTTGGAGCGAGAGGACGAGCGATTGAATGTACGAATGTCTATGTGAGTGCCTGAGGAGAAAGGAGACCTGCCGACGAAGTGTTAAGCTGAGATCGACCATGCCAGCGTGTGAGATGTCCAAACATCAATGTTGAATCCATGGAACCCATCGTTGCTTGAATGCCTGCAGAAGACTGTTCGTTGAAGGCTGCGTGAGTTTGTGTACGAAAGCTGTTCATTAGGACGCTGACTGGACCATTCGTTGTTTAACGTAAGTTCTAATACGGCAATAAAGTCATGTCTCGTAAGCTCACATCGGTGTCGGCTTGTGCCAGTTGTATAACGTGAAGCGTGTCAGAATATCATCCATCACACACGCATGAACACTGCCTAGACAACGAGTGAAAAATAAAACCACTTATTACATTCTTCTTCTTCTTCTTCTTCTTCTTCTTCTTCTTCTTCTTCTTTTTCTTCTTCTTTTTCTTCTTCTTCTTCTTCTTCTTCTTTTTCTTCTTCTTCTTCTTTTTTTCTTCTTCTACTTCGTCTCATTATTAATAATATTATTTTTATTATTTTCTGCTTCTTTTCTTTTTTTTTCTTCTTTTTTTTCTTCTTTTCTTCTTTTTCTTCTTCTTCTTCTCTTCTTCTTCTTCTTCTTCTTCCTATTCTTCTTCTTTTGCTGCTGCTGTTGCTTTTTCTACTTCTTCCTCTTCTTCTTCGCATTCACCGGCTGTAAACTCTTTCAGAAAGATATGGTTGTTCTTCCACTTCTGGACCTTAGTTCTGTTCCAGAACCTGAGTTCCGTGTGCACATCCATATTACAGATGTTGCTTACGTTTGTGCAGACTGTTAGCTCCTCGCGTCTCAGACAGAATCACTCCGACTTTGTAGGCAATATCCTTGATTAATCGACTCGTACGAGAAGCTTGTTGGGAGTTGAGGTTGGGAGTCTATTCTAGTACGTTCTCTACAGTGGTCCTCTGTACCCCCACAAGAAATTCTCAATGAGGATGTTTAATCTATGTGATCTGTGACTTGTGTTCCCCCCACCTAGTCGTGGACATTCGCGCCTGGCTTCTCGCAGACATTGTCTCTGTATTTGACGTCTGTGGAATTCTTGGCAGTCTACCAACAAAGAACCTCTTCTCTGTACTTGTTATTTTTGTTTTACTCAAATTATGCAAGGTCTATGACTCATAATAATGATAGTTGTGGTTTTTGCAATAGTAGAAACAACAGTAACAACATTAGTAGTAGTAGTAGTAGTAGTAGTAGTAGTAGTAGTAGTAGTAGTAGTAGTAGTAGTAGTAGTAGTAGTAGTAGTAGTAGTAGTAGTAGTAGTTGTTGTTGTTGTTGTCGTTGTTGTTGTTGTTTTTGTTGTTGTTGTTGTTGTGGAAATTGTAATAGTAAGAGCAAGATTAGCCGTAGTAATAGCAGTCAGTAGTGATGGTGGTAGTGGTGTTTGAGTTAGTAGTAGTAGTAGTAATTCGTATGTCTTAATTTTTTTTTTTACTTTTTCCTTTTTAACTGCACTGTAAACTTCGGGGAAAAGTTCTGGTTGTTTGTCCCCTTCTAGACTTTAGTCAAATTGCAGAACTTGAGGCTAAAGAATGGCCAGATAAACAAAAGCCTGATAAACCAAAATAACTTTTAATAATTCAAATGTCCGTGACAGTGTAGTTTATGTCATCAAATGTGCGACAGTAATGAGTACACGTTGCACAAACGATGATTGGTTGTTAGTTCATTAACCAGTTGTAGGCGGGCTGACGACCACGCCCTCCTCGTTGACAAACACTCGAACTCTGTCAATTCTGTAATCCATTGTAGTCATCGATCCTTCGGCCACTTTCTCTACCTGGGGAAACAATTTGATATTTTAGTTAAGAGTTATCGCAGCTTTACGCTGCTGGGCATCGAAGTTTAACAAATTATGACATGTAGCCGAGCCAGGGCGTGCTCGGTTCATTGATAGGCTGCGTTGCTGTGATGCTTTAATAAGTTCCTGACTCCTTCAATCATCTTCTTGTCCCGAGAGAGAGAGAGGGAGGGGGGATGCGTGGTCTCGAGGCACGATGTCCGCCTCGAGTGCTAGAGATTCCGGGTTCAATCCCCCTTAAGGGCTGGGAATTTTTCACTCGAGCTTGGACTTCTAGTAATTCCCCCGGTCTCTGGGTAGTGATATCGGACGCCCGTGTGCATTGTTGCGCACGTAAAAATACCTTTGGCAGTTGGAAATCGAAAAGAGTAGCCTAACGGCGCTGCCCGGGCGAAATTTGGAGTTAAAAGTCTACCCAAAGTATTTCAGAGTCCTCGCCAGTGCTGCAGAGCCTATGCACTTTGCTGAGCTTCTTCGGACTCACACCTGAGTTAAAAGAAGAACGGAGCACTTATAGGTTACTACCCCTGAGCCATGATGTTGATCCGCTGTTCAAAACCTCACGATCTCGCTGCCGATATAGTTAGGGTCATACTAAAGGGGTGGCCGAACTATTTTAGTCTTTTTGTGTGAATAAATTTAATAATGAATATTGTTCCAATAGTTCGTATAATCCCTTTATTTCTTACACGATATCTTCCACCCCCACAGTCGTGATAATATCTTGAAAACTCTCCGGGTGCGTTCCGGGGCCTCACTGGGGGTGGAGGGGGGGGGGGGGTTACCGACTGCCCCTGAAACAATCATGAGGTAAACATCATCTAATTTAGACGTTTTTCAAGTCCGATTGCATCTATCTGAGGTCAGGAACCAAGAGACTCCATACAAATAAGCTAGATTTGAAAACCGGATATCCTTGCAAAACTCAAGTTCTGGAACAAGACTAAAGTCTAGAAGCGGACGAACAACCAGAATTTTCCCTTACAGCTAAGAAGGAGCATTTTTTTTTTAAACTGCTGGACTGCAGGTACACGCGGAAAGAATCGTTGCGAGACCAAGATTAATGTTACATGAGTAACCAAAGCAATAACAAGTCTGCGAAAAACAGCTTTATGAATACATTGTAAAAGCACGTGACCTCGTGCAAACAAAAGGAACACGTGATTAATTTAAGACTACCACGCCGTAAAACGTGGGGTGAAACAGGAGTCTGTGTGATGTATGTTTTCAAAAGAACAGATTCATTATTATGCTTTCGTAATCTTCTGCTTCTTCTTTTTCAGCATTCCGAGCCCTTGAGGTTCATTACTATATACATCACTCGCCTCTTCTCATCTCTTTCGTTGGCTCTCTGTGTACAGTTGGTGACACCAGGTGTTTTGTTGTTCTGTCTGGATATTATGTCTCCAGCGTCTTCCTTGTCTGCTTTGAGGTATAAGACCATTCAACTTCCTTATGTACACCGTTTTTACCTCTCTGTCATCAGACATTCTTTCAATATACCCCAGCCATTTAAGTCTACTAACCCTTACATTGCCAGTGATCAATGATTGATTTATTCAGATTATGCTTTTCGTTGTTGCTTCTCATTCTCCATTCCCCGCTGTTTGCATCCTTGATTGGTCCAAAGATTGATCGCAAGACTGTTTTCAAAAAAATGTATAACAAGGCTTCATCTTTTTGTTTATCCGTTGATGTGAATTCTGTAGTATGTACCTAACGGGAGAGAGTCACATTTGCGGAGCGGCTAGACGCTCGCGGCGGATCGGAAGGTCGTGGGTTCGCTCCCTAGTGGAGCCGGACTTTTTTTAAAAATGGCCTTGCTCCCAGATCGACCCAGCCTTGAGTAGTTACCGGGTGCAGTCCCGGGAAGTAAAGGCGGCCCGCGTGATGCTGACCACATCACACGATCTTGTGCTCATTGGTCTATAAAAATATAGGTCTAGCCCTATATGCCCTATACGCCTAAAAGCGTGAAAAGGGTCATTTACTTTTTATATTTTTTTTTTTTACTTACCTAACAGGACACACCAGAAGATGATCGGCAACAGATTGTGCGATTTATTGTTTGTCTATTCGTTACTGAAAGCTCATGAACTTGCCAAACACTTTAATATATACAAATATGAAAAGGCTACTGACCCTTTTCAGACCATTGTCGCATATTATAAAGACCAGCCAGCCCTCGATTGGTAATACATTCAACATTACACATGGAATTATTGTCTATGTGACCCAGATATAACGGGCAAGGCCAGATTTAGACTTGTCGAGGTCCTAAAATATTTAAAAACGCGAGGCCCTTGTTGTTTTAAATTTCACCAGCTTATCTCAAACAGGCCTTGAAATATATGTCGTTTAATATGTCGTAAAAGAATTAAAAAACAATTTGACTGCAAAATTACAGCAATTATATTACGTAATGCTCTTGAATGCTCTATTAAGAGAAAAACAATGTAATCTGTGAAGAAGAAGAAAAGGTAAAGTTTTTTTTGGGTATTCCTGAAAATTGTCAGGCCCTAATCTCTAGTTTAGTTAGCGTATACCTAAATTCGGCGCTGATAACGGTGGATGTTTGTTGAAGTTACAAGAACATAAAAAATGTGAGAAGTTACAAGAATATAAAACATGTGAGAAGTTACAAGAACATAAAATATGTGAGAAGTTACAAGAACATAAAACATGTGAGAAGTTACAAGAACATAAAATATGTGAGAAGTTACAAGAACATAAAACATGTGAGAAGTTACAAGAACATAAAATATGTGAGAAGTTACAAGAACATAAAACATGTGAGAAGTTACAGGAACATAAAACATGTGAGAAGTTACAAGAACATAAAATATGTGAGAAGTTACAAGAACATAAAACATGTGAGAAGTTACAAGAACATAAAACATGTGAGAAGTTACATTCAGGTCGGGATTCTCCTGTTTGATCAACCTCACAGCCTCGTCAAATGTCTGGGGAATATGCAAAACAAAAATATGTTACAAAACATTCACCTCGGTAATTGACCGCGAAATAAACTCTTTATAAACAAACTCTATACAAAAATAAGTATAAATGGAAGATCAAATATATAAACATAATCTTAGCCTCATAATTCACAAGAGTTCAGCGTTTTTAGATGGGTTATCTTGACGGCACTCCGGACAAGTCCGTAGATGCTCACTTTCTCCTTGATCATATACACCACCGTTCCGCCACTGCAGTGCTAGTCCTGTGTTAGTTCAGGAAACTTCTCTGCGGTATACCTCTCATGCCTGGCTGTGCTGATCTTTATTCCCTTCCTTACCTGCATAGGACTGTAGGTTATGCCAGGCTGATGTAGTCATCGGAACTGGTGTCCTAATTAAAATTTCTTTGGAGGTTGAACCATTTCTGGTATCTGCCACTTTGGCTTCCGCCCAGGTTGAGATTTTGTTTTTATAAATGCCAGGATGGTACGGTAAACCTGTAGGTAGCAGCCCGGACAGGACAAATTATTTGATCGATGGATTGATCGTTAGTCTTGACCACGGTGTGGATGTGCTGCTCCCAGCATCCTTCCATCGTCCTATCTCTCTACAGGCGTTAATAATATCTTCATGATCCATAGCAGAAACATCTGCAACTGAGACAGAGCCAGCCTTTCCATCAACTCCTTCATTGCCATCTACACCCGCATTATTTGGGACAAAAATGAAGGTAACTCCGCGCACAGGGTAGATAATCCAGTGTCAGTGTACAGAGCTCAGAGCTTGCCTTGACCCACCAGATCACGTTCGTAGAATGACTGGACACACACACACATGCGCGTGCGCGCACACACGGAGAATGTTTAATGGAAGTCAGACGGAGACTAGTGGTAGCAAAGTATTGTTTAAATCACCTTTCAAAGCTTTATTATTACCCCA